GAGCCATCGATGGCCTGGGGTTCCAGGGAAGGGGCTCAGTAGAGGTACTTTGTGACTAGTTCTTGCTTGCTAAATAGTTGTCATGGCTAGGGTTGGCACCTTGTACTTCTTTTCATCTAGGATTGTGCTGACTGTATTGTTTCAGTTGAGTAACTAAATCCCAGCAGATTGACTAGTCTGCTGTTACCAGATCAGAGGTCGGTGGCCTGTTCCATTGTAATTATCCTGTTGTAGGTGAGTGTTGGTGGAAATGAATTCTGCCTCATGACGTCCCATTTGGAGAGCACCAGAGAACATTCTGCTGAACGAATGAGTCAATTAAAAACGGTTTTTCAGAAAATGCAAGAGGTTCCAGATTCAACTACTGTTCTATTTGCAGGAGATACAAATTTAAGAGATCAAGAAGTGAGTAACAGAGTTGGTTCACTGTTTGTGGGGAGACTATTGTTGTGGAAACTAACTTGGTTTGCTTTATCTAAGGTATGGATTTGGAAATACACGGTAGAAAACACTGTGTGGTTTTTATATAAAAGCAGGTCTTTACACTATTAAGGGAAATCTTACTACGTGTGCTATCGGCAATATAAAGCAATAAATATGTTGGATAATTATCAATAAAATAATAATTAGAAGAGCTTTAAAAAGATTTAGGGTATTTGTAGCTTCCCTAGGTTCAAGAAGGCCTAATTCTATTCTGAGTTGAAATTAACTTTTTTAAAACTTACATTTGTTTATAGAACCTAGGGCCTCCTACATGCTAGACAACACTGCTGACCTACAGCTCTAGGATTTTGTTTTTAATTCTGTTTTTTCTGTATAATGAGATTTTTCAGATAAAAATATTAGAATTTCATTTTGAATGTGTACATGGTAGTCATAGCAGAACTTTTGAGACTTGGTTCTCTCTTTCCACCATGTGGGTCCCTAGGCTGGAACTGAAGAAATGATTGAAGTGGTCAGGTGTGTTCTCTACCACACATAGAAACTTTTTGTGTTGATGGAGATTGAACCTGATGTGTCACTAATGCCAACCCTGTAGTTAACTGCTATCCTGCCTTACCAGCCATAAAATTGTAAATTGTGTCATATGAATGGGGGAAAGAAAAATAGTATTATTCGAGTGTGGTTTGTTTATTTTTTATTGTTTTTTAAAATGTAATTTGTAGGCATAGTAGTACATGCCTTTAATCCCAGCACTTGGGAAATACAGGCAGGTAGATCTCTGTGAGTTCAATGGCAGTCTGGTGTACATAGTGTGTTCTCAGAAACCCAAAAATATTAAAAATAAAATAAAAAGTTGCATTATAGTTGATAATATTAAACACATTTTAAATTGTGGTGTGTGTGAATATATGAATCTTACCTGGTATTCTTTTTCTTTTCTAGGTTATCAAATGTGGTGGTTTACCTGAGAATGTTTTTGATGCCTGGGAATTTTTGGGCAAACCTAAACATTGCCAGTATACATGGGATACAAGAAAAAATACTAATCTCGGGATTCCTGCTCCTTGTAAGCATCGCTTTGATCGAATATTTTTCAAAGCAGAGGAGGGCCGCCTTATTCCCAAAAGTTTAGACCTTATTGGGTTGGAAAAACTGGATTGTGGTAGATTTCCTAGTGATCACTGGGGTCTCCTCTGCAACTTGAATGTAGTGTCGTGAAAAGCTTTCCAAATTTGAACTTTATATGTTTGCAGTAGTTCTGGATTCATGTAAATCTCAATCTTTCAGGAAAGCTAGGTATTACACACAAGAATTAACAAACTGGTTCATTAGTACAGCAAAAGCGGTTACATTTTGCTTTGCAGCTTGTGTCCTGAGAATTAAAAATTGGTGTTTGTAATCAAAGCATGCTTGCGCTCAGAATGTGTGAACCTTTGTTGAAGGAATACAGCCACTCAGCTCGTAACAGTGCTCATTGCTGCCATAAGGATTTCAAGTAGTGGCCATATTGTCTCAGGGCTAATTGTCACAAAACTACTGTTAGGATTGTTAGGCTCCAAAATAATATTAAACCATTTTATCAAGAGAAAAAGCAAGCTACTGAATTCTTGAGACCGCATTGTGCCTTATGTTTTATAAGCTCAGAAACTTAAGTGAAAAAGCCATGGCCATCTGCATTAGATGATGTGTTGTATATCAGACTTAATTCTTGTCAGCTGATAGTATAATTGACTTAGTGATGAGTTAAATTTGCACTTTAATTCCAATAACTTCTGATTAATGTTAATTTTTTTCCTGATAAGTGATACAGTTAAGCTTGGTAATGATTACACACAGCTTAAGCAACATGGGAATTGTTTCTTAGAGAAAAATTCATGAAGAAAAGTACCCTTCTGTTATTGTTACTAGTAAGATGGAGATACTTTTTAGGAAGTGAATAAAAAATGCATTTTAAAAAAGTGTTCTGTAAAGCAAAGATGTACTGTAAATAAAGCGTTGAACCTGTGTGTGACGAGTATGATTTCTCTGTCCATGATGGGATTTGTTGTTCTACAGCCTTCCTCAGAAGTTGCTCTTCAGTTGGAATCACCAAGAAATCTGTGTGTTTTATTATATTAAATCCCCAGCACTGTAAACGCTATGGCAAGAGGATTGCCATTAGTTTAAGGCTGGCCTGGGCTACACAGTAAGACCCAGGCAAAAACAAAAAGTTCACTTGAAAGAGCAGTGTGGTAGTGGAGGATGGTGCTTTCTTGCTTGGTACAATTAAGTTTAAAAGGTCACAATATGAAATGTGTGATGTATTATACTATTAGACCTTCAGTTTGTTACAAAAACATGAAAGTATAATTTCTGTTATGTAACTGAAATGCTTTCCTTGTTTATTACTTTCGACAAAATATAAGTCAGGAGAAGAGAAAAAAACCTGTAGTCTTTGTTGGGCAATAGTTTTTAAACTAAAACACTAGAGAACCTAGTAATTTGCAATACCCTTAGGTTTTTTTTTGTTTTTTTAATTTAAGCAGAAAACAAAAACTTCTATCTTTAGTGAAATTCCAACTCAAAATTGGTAGCAGACAATTGTTCTGCCACTGAGCCACATCACGAGGCCAGTGATGAGCTGTGCCCCCGCCGCCTTTGGTAAACACAGATTTTGCCATCCATGTGTGCATTGTATTTTAACCTCCTTGAACTTGACTTTGTCCCTTCAAATTACGATAGTTCCATGATTTTATGTGAAAAATGTCCTGGCAAACAATCAGGAAAAAAAAAAAACTATGGATTCCTGAAATTTTCCCTTTGAACCTGCCTGGCAGCTAATGGGAGGTCAGTGAATGTCCACTGAATACCAGGAGGCTGGCATTTCCTCCAGTGCCTCCATGATGTGTGTGCAAATGAAAGATAGTGATTTTTTTTTTTTGCGATGCTCCAGTTGGTTGTTTTGGAGGGGGAAGAAGTTGAAAGTGGGTCCTTTTGCAGTTGTCATCTGTAAGGATGTTCAATTGACTTCTCTCCATCAGTATGTGCTCATGACTTCATCTTACTCTGTCTTGCTCCTAAATCTGTCATGGTGGGAGACTTGTACACTGTTGTAATTATTTCCAACTTTGTCACAGCCTGCCTCCTGAATTTCTTCACTGTCTGCATCACTTCTCTATCATTAAAGATGTATCATGAGAGGAGGAGGTAGATAGGTTTGCTGTTGTCCTTCAATGTCCGTTTAGTGACGGAATTATTTTTTCCTACTTATTAGTCCATGCTTACTTTTATCCCTCTCAGCCTTCCTTTCCTTACTGGTTTTTCGAGTCAGGATTTCCCTGTGTAGCCATGTCTATCCCAGGACTCCCTTTGTCGACCATGTTGACTTTAAACAACTTGAGAGGAGAGATTAAAGGTGTGCACCTTCCTCAGTCTTACACACCCACTCTCCTTCACCTCCTCAATGGTTCATTATCTCCATTAGTTCCCACTCTCTTCCTATATGGTGCTTTCATCTGTACAATGTCTATAAGTATATGTGGAGGCCTGAGGGCAGTGTGTGGAATCTTCCATTTTTATATAGGTCTCAGGGACCTATCTGACTTAGGTCATCAGACCTGGTAAGTTGAGTGCATTACTGGCTGAGCCCTCTCACCTCACCTTCCCATTAGAAAGTCTCACTACATAGCCTGGCTTGGCCTAGAACTTGCTAGATGCACCAGGGTAGCTTCAGACTCGGTGGTCATCCTGACTGCCTCACCATGTCTGACTTGTTCATTATTGTTTGAAACAGTGTCATTGTGTAGCCCTGCTCCCACCTCACCCTCGTGCCTTCTGGTATTACTAGTGTACTACTGCTCCTGGCTCAATCTCCGTTTGGTAACAGAAAACATTGAGCAGGTTTGTAACTTGTCTGAGGTGTCTCCACAAAGGTGCCAATCGAGGCCCCCCCCCCCCCCCCGGTGTGCAGCTCTGTCTTTAAACCACGACGGTGGAAAGTGTAAGGAATAATCCACCCACCCCTTCTGCTCCTCCTTACTAGTACCTAGATAGTTTGGTGTCCTTATTATAGTGTTAAAATAAAAGGAATAGTGCTCCATCCATTTCCTCTAGCTCAGATTCTCACTAGAGGACACATGCCTCAAAATGCACCCGGCATCCTTTTAACCTTGCAAAGTACAGAATTGGTCTGTGTCGACGTGGGCTCAGGTTTCCATCCTTGGTCTGAGAGCAGTTCTCAAAACCAGGAAAATAAATTACATTGAGGCTGGGAGGAACTCTCAAAGGCTAGGCAGAAAACAAGGCTTGAATAGCCGGGTGTCTTGGCTTAAGGAGTCTGCGCTAGGCAGTTGCGTGTTGCCCGGACGGAGCATTTTCCTGGAAGACTTGTCCAACCCCTCAACATTTTGGAACCATGACCGGGAAGAGGTGGGGAGGGGGACCCGAGTAGGGAAACAAACACAGAAGTCCCTCTGCTTAGTAATGCAGGCTGCAGTACAGGCCATCCCTAGGGGCGTGTGTGCGCGTGCGTGTGCGTCGCCCTGGTAACCCGGGAGGCGGAAAGGCTTGCTGAATCACCAGCGTCCAAGTAGGCGCAGGGGCAGGCAGGTGTCGCCTGCAGGTGTGCCTCGCAGGTGTCCCTACTGGACACCAACTGCTAGGCGGTAAGGCTCATCGCGGAGCCTAGAGATTGCTGGGGATGGAGGTAAGAACCGCACTTTGCCATGGGCGTTCCTGTTTTGATTGATGGGTTCTCAGCAGGGTGGAGTCAGGGAGACTTGGGTCTCTAAGGAGCCTCAAACCCAAGAATCGGTTTTTTTTTTTTTTTTTAAAGTTCATTCAGTACTGTTATTTGCTAAATGCATTCCGTATCTGCTCCATGCAGTAATCAGAGGTTTCCAATCTTGACTCTAAATCCCCTAATTTCTAGCCAGGGTCTAGTTAGGATTCTGCTTTACCTCTGCCTAGGGATGCAGGGTGTGAATGTGTTAGTGAGACTGGGCGGTGAGGTGGTGAGTGAAGCTCCAGTGAGCCAGGAGCCAGCAGTGCCCAGCTTTAGTGTCCCCAGAGCCACCTCAGGTGCAGAATCCCATCTCCCAACCCAGCTGGCCAAGTGTCAGCTAGGGAAGACAGCAAGCCGGTAGGTGATGCTGGTGAAAACAACCAAGAGGCACACTTCCGAGGGTTCCTCCGGACACCCAGGAAAAGCGGTCCAGGAGAGTCGCATGACTTGGCAGTCTTTCCAATCCTTCAACTAGAATAACTTAGACTTTAGACAGTTCTTCAGAATTGTTACCTTTAAATTCGGTTCAGGGCTGTTGACGTGGTCCTTGCCACCATTTGCCGACTGCATTCTTTATTGCCTCTCCTTATTGTCACCTGAAGTTTCATGCTGTTTAAAGGCTTTCTTTCTGCTCTTTGAATTCGCTCCAAGGAACGGCACAGATTTACCAGGAGCACACAGCTGCAATCGTTAGTCATCATTCTCAGCACCATTTGTTCTCATAATTGGATGAAGGGAGAAAGCAGTGCAACCATATTCATGCTCATGTTTATTGCTGGTTTCCTGATCATTTTCGTTTGTGGGTTAAATGTTGATATGTTTCCACTGCTTGAACAGAAAGGTTGAGTGATATTTTTGTTAATAATAGAAAAGACTTACCGATCTCATTTCCTAGGAAAGTCACGAACTTTTGGAGTGGACGTGTGTCTTACTTTATTCCTGAAATGCAGCATGGTGCCTGGAAGAATTCTTAAGTGAGACTACTGAAGTCAGGGCACGTGTAAGTTCTTATTCTGTGCTGTGATTTTACTTATTCTCTGTTGTTGTTGTTGTTGTTGTTTGAGACAGGGTTTCTCTGTGTAGCTCTAACTGTCCTGGAACTGCATTTTGTAGACCAGGCTGGCCTCCAACTCACAGAGATCCGCCTGCCTCTGCCTCCTGAGTGCTGAGATTAAAGGCGTGCACCACCACTGCCCAGCTGATTTTACTTATTCCTAATACAGATGGGGCAAAGTAGAGATAGCGGATCGGTTCTAAACTTAGAACTCAGGGGGAAATCTAAATTCTGTGCAGTTTGAAAAAGATATAAAAAACATGTAGCAGGAACTTTTAGAACCAGAGGTAACAGGTACACCCTGATGTCTTTGCTGTGTAAAATGCCAAAGCAGGGCACACGCTTCCTTTCAGTAACATACAAGTAATCAGCTAACACCCTTACAGTTTAGAAGACTGAAGGAGAGCACCTGTAAGTTCTAAAAGAATGCACATGTTTACATGTTTTTTTTTTTCTCTTGACTTAACACCACTACCACCAGCAGCACCCGACCGTCCTACCTGACCGCATCAGGAAACAGAGAATCATTCTTTTTAAACAAATCTGGAGAAGTAGGGATGTCTGTTTTGGGGGCTAGAGTTGAGGGGCATAGACAGCCTGATGAGGAAGATGGTATGCTTAGGGCTGTGGCTCAGCTGTTAGTGGCAACCTGACATTACAGAAACTCTATAACCTCTAAGCCCGAGCTTCCTCTTCTGTAAAATACAGAAACTAGTAAGACCTACTCAGTGGGATTTCTATAAGAATTAAAATAAGATGATAGGCTGAGCTGCAAAGATTGCTCAAACCCAAGGGGTGGAGCCTAGATTGTAAACACATTGTTTTTTGTTCAGTCAGCATTTTTATCTTTGTGTGTGTGTGTGAGTGTGTGTGGTGCCACACATGGAACTTGAACTGCTACAGTCAGGGTTCCAGGAAGTTGTGAGCTTCCTGACATAGGGGCTGGGATCTGAATTTAGAAGTCCATTTAAAAAATTAATAATGTGTACACAAATAATTTTTTAAGAACCCCCCCTTTTTTGTTTTTGTTTTGTTTTGTTTGGAGACAGGGTTTATCTGTGTAGCCCTGTCTGTCCTGGAACTTGTTCTGTAGACCAGGCTGACCTCAAACTCAAGAGATCTGTATGCTTCGAGTGCTGGGATTAAAGGCCTGAGCCACCACACCACATCCAGTTTCATCTCTGCATTCGGGGAGCATGATCCATCTCAAATTCAGGGCTGCTCTTGTCTATTGAGATCCTGTCTCAAAAAGAAATAAACAACCAAACTAAATAAAAGTTCTGTTTTTAAATATTTAAAGACTGTATTATGTCACTATGTACATGTGTCTGATACCCACAGAGGCCAGAGAGAGTGCAGGGTCCTTTGGAGCTGGAGTTACAGGTGGTTGTGAGCTGCCTGGTGTGAATGTTGGGATCCAAACTGGAGCTCTCTGCAAGAGCAGCAAGTCCTATTAGGCACTGAGCCACCTCTCCGGTCCAATAAGGGTTATTTTTGAGATTAAAAAGTGTTCAGGAAAAAAAAATTCTTCAAAATAATGTGGCACTAGAAGTAGAATTATTTTAATGTGGTCAAAAGTTTTTCTGATGTACAGACTCAAGTTCCTTTAAAAACATCAGAAAATTCACACATCTTTTCTTGTAGTATCTTTGTAAAAACAATAAATATAACAGATTTAATCTAAATGCATGCCAATTTAATACCCGGTTAATTACATTTAATACTTCAAGAAAGGAGATTTGCTTTAATAGGCATGAAATAGCTGGTAGGTTATTGTTCTATTTCCTTTAATAATCTATTTTACACGACAGCCAAGACTACATAGACCCGGTGTCAGAAAACCACATAACATGAATCCCAGCCATTAGAGCTCTGCCCTTTCCATTACATGTCTTCAAATACGTGTGAGTTCCAAATGCATTTGTGAAGGATCAGAATTCAGAGTGCGCACCTGCTTAGAGTGCATTGGACTGGGGAAATTTTGTTTTCTACCAATTCTCAGAGGTTTTGCACCCTTGCATTACATTTTTTCCATTAGCTTTGTTGAAGTACAGTTGACTAATAAAAATTGTGCATGATTGATACGCACGTCTGTGATTCCAGCTCTTGGAAGAGGGAGGCAGAAGGAACTGAAATTCAAGGTCCTCCTTGGCTACATAGTAAATTTGAAATTCATCTGGGCTCCTTAACACCCAGTCTAAAAAAGAAATCTACAATACAAAACAAACAAACAAACAAAAAATAACAACAGAAACCACCCAACAACAAAACCCTACCACCAGGGCCAGGGAGACGGTTTAGCAGGTAAAAGCATCTCCCACCAAAGATGACAATCTGAGTCTGAGCTCTGGGGCCTTCATGGCTGAATGAGAACTGGTTCTCTGAAGTTATTCTTTGACTTTAATACATGGACCATGGAATGCATAAATCTACCTACATATACGTACACTCCATACAAGTAAGTGAAAATATTAAAAATTCAAAATTAAGTATACATACAATGTGTTATATGATACACACACATAGTGATTTCACAATCCATTTAATTAATTTGTCCATCACCTCATATGCGTGCCTATTTTTGTTTGTAATACAAACAAGTTTTTAATCTCTTAACAAATGTACAGTACAGCATAGCATACTGTATATAGTATGCTATTTTAATTACTGTGTGTGTGTGTGTGTGTGTGTGTGTACATTTGTGGGTGCCCTGAGAGACCAGAAGAGTACATTAGATCCCCTGGAGCTGTGGTTACCTGTGGCTGTGAGCTGCCCAGAGTAGATGCTGGGAACCAAACTTGAGTCATCTGAGAGAACAGCAAGCACTCTTAACTCCTAAACTATCTCCACAGCCCTGTAAAAGTGCTTACCATAGGCACTGTGCTGCATTTAGTGTGGAGATATTCTAAATCAGTTCTTTCCTGAGCCCCCAAAGCAAAGTCCTCGTAGTGAGCGTCCTTTGGCAGTCCTCTATTTGTTTTCAATCCTGCAGTCTATGGCTCTTCCCCCTGCCCCCAATTCCTAGCAATAGAGCTCATGACCCCTTCTTAGCCTGCAGTGATGCTTATGAGTCTTTCATAGTAGTTCACAGTGTCAGTCAAAGTCTACCCACTTGCCTGCTCTATTAGTTTGATGTTGCTGTGGAATAAATTATTACAAAAATAGATAAAAAATACTTAACACATCACACATTTGTTTGAATTTATGACAGTCTTGTAATTCTATGTAGTTGTTTTTTTTTTTCTTTTACTCTTTCTCTTTGGAGACCTGCCACCCATTTCCCAAATAAATACACAGAGATTTATTCTTACTTATGAATGTCCGACCTTAGCTTGGCTTGTTTCTAGCCAACTTTTCTGAAGTTAAATTATGCTGTTTACCCTTTGCCTCTGGGCTTTTACCTTCCTCTAGTCTATAAACCTTTCTTTCCTTCCTACTCTGTGGCTGATTGTGTGGCTGGGTGACTGGCTCCTGGTACCCTCCTTCCCTTCTCCTTTTCTGGCTCCTCCTCCTCCTATTCTCTCTGCCTAGCAGCCCCCCTATTTCTCTCTCCTGACTTGCTATTGGCTGCTCAGCTCTTTATTAGAACAATCAGGTGTTTTAGACAGGCAAAATAACACAGTTTTATATAATTAAACAAATCATCATAAAAGAATGCAACACATCTTTGCATCCTTAAGCAAATTTTTCACAGCATAACCAAATCTTAATATTCTACAACAATTCTATACTCAAATCAAGTTTCCATTGCAGTGTGCAGTGTGTCTACTAGTGAGGGATTTTTTCATAATTATATAACTTGAAGTGGCAAGATCTATTTTTAATCCAGCAATTTTGAAGTGGGAAGATAGACCTTTAGTCTAGATCTTTTGAGATGGGAAGATCCACCTTTAATCTGGGCTACACCTTCAACTGGCAGCCCGTATAAAGGACACAGAAGAAGGAAGCTTGTCCTCTTAGCCTGCTTGCTTTCTCTTTCACGGGCAATCCATTCTTCCACTGGCTCTAGAGCCTACTTCTTTGGGACTCCAGTCTATACTGAAGACCAGCTCAGACATCCAGCCCCACAGACTAAAAACTACTAGATACTTGGATCTTGTGTTGGTGCACAGTCATTGTTGGACTAACTGGATCAAAGCCTGTAAGCCATTCTAATAAATGCCCTTTACACACACACACACACACACACACACACACACAGAGTACACACTCTCCCACTCCATCAGATCTGTTCTTCGAGAGAACCCTGACTAATACAGAAAGTAACTGTCCTATAGAATTTACTGGTAAAGTATGATAATTTTGTGTTGGATCTTGCTTATAAACATCTCAGTGTTTTTGTCTTTTATTTTATTTAAAAGGAACTTGTTATTGTATGAATATGTAATGTGTGTTTGTGGGAGACTGAGCCACAGAATGCGTGCAGAGGTCAGCAGACAGTTTTGTGGGGTGGGTTCTCTCCTTCCACCTTTATGTGGGTTCCAGGATAGAACCCGGGTCCCTGGGCTAACGCATCTAACACTTTAACCCCTGTCCTATCCCCAGGCTAATGCATGGAGCATCTTTACCCCCAAACTATCTCACTGGCACCTTGTTCTCCCTTTAAATGACCAAAGCTGTCACTGTGGGTGTAAATGGCTTTGCCCCTTGACTGGCAGCCATCAGATCTTTGCCCTGCACCTCTCTGTAGCTGCAGCCACCTCAGATAGAGCAGAGACTGGAGCTGGATTAAGGGCCATTACTGCTGCCAGAAGGTGGCTTTGGATCCTGGGAGCTGAACTTACAGGCATTTGTGAGCCACCCTGTGTGGGTGCTGGAACTGGAGTTCTACCCTGATAGAGCAGCATGTGCTCTTAACTACTACCTCGTCTCTCCAGCTTCCAAACATCTTATTTTCCTGAGCAAGGTCTCTCACTGAGCCTGGAGCTTGGTGTTTTGATTATATA